GATAATCAAAGGCGAGTCTCATTCCGCCAAAGAAATTCCAATTGAAGGTGAGGTTCATCCCACCAAAGGAACTTCAACCGAAAGCTAAGTTAAATTCGTAAAAGAAAAATGGGGACTAACCACCCAAAGGAAATTATTATCATAAGGACGAGACCACGTTACCCTTCGATTAAATGTCATGACATATTGTAATAACACACAAAGTACTTTTGTAATGAAAACCACGGCAAGGGAAAAGATAGTAATATGTAGCCCCTTATGTTGTTACGATGATTAAATAGAACTTTTGTAAGCTACGTTGCAAAAAATACGACAAATTATGTTACTGAGACACAATTGTCATAAATGCATCTACACGAAGCATAATTAAATGACCAATGAGTAAAGCATTGTGAGCCTAAATAGATAACCTAATGAACGAAATTGTACAAAATAAACAATGAAATTTCGTTAATAAATTGTCAAATTAGCAGTTTTATACAAAGTAGAAATGAAATTTCATTAAAGAAATGAGACAAAAACAAGCTATCTATCTAAGTTTACCAACAATTGGATATTCTTGAGAGCGAATCGTCTTGGTTAAATGGGGTATTACCCCTAAAGGGTACTCATGCTTTGGAGGAAAGACGAACATCAACAGAAGTGCCTCTGTCTTAGCACTAGTAACGACCTCGCTGGGAGGAATAATCGGAGGATCCACATGTTGGGAAGTTTCGACAGAAGTGGACGGATTATCTGAAGCCTCGAAGGCTAACAGAGTATCCTCGAAAGATAGGGTAACCCCGACATTCTCTCCATGAGCATCTAAGAAATCGATATTCCACTTAAGATGGAAATTCCTGATAATAAGCTTCACCTCATTAGCTTTTACCCCAGAAAGACTAGACTCCGCAAGAGCTAATTTTGTCTCGGTACTTTTTAGCTGATTATGATGTAAGGTCTTTTCATTCCTCGCATTGTCAAGATCCTAGGAGATAGCATACTGATTAGCCTTAACTGATTGAAGTTCATCTCTAAGGCGCAAAATCTCGATATCAATTTTGGCGACTAGGCTGCATGACTTTCCTTGGTCAGCTCCAAATCTTTGGAGTTCCTTTTAACATTGGCCACCAAGTAAGCCTCCATTGTAGCAAAGACAACCAATACATTAGTTGTTTGCCCACTCGGAAAGGATAAAATGGCATGACAGAATTTCGATTTATGTTGTTCTCTCAGCATCCCTGCTCATCTCCTTGAACTTTATCTTCTCTTTCTCAGCCTCCCCCAGCCTTTTCTTAAGAGTTTCGTACCCCTTCTCCAAATAATCAATTTTCTTCTCCAGTTTGTTAGCTTGCAAAACACAAACCTCATACTCCGTTTGTTGGTCATTATTGTAATGATCCGACCTCGCGCCGAAGCCGTTATCATATCATGCGTACTGTCCACTTTGAGAGAGCCTAAGTTCATCTTACCCCTCACGGCTTTCTGAAGCGTTCCCCAAAATTCGAACCCAAGACCTTCATTATATGGGAGACTTAAGTTGAACGTATGCTATGATAACGGCTCCGGCGCGAGGTCGGGTCGTTACAATTATAAAGTACAATACCTCGTGAAAGATGAGTGTCAATCAAATTCCTCCCCTTGCGCAAACCTTTCCCAAGCAGAGTTAATATACAAGTAAGTGGATTGACAGCCCTAAAAACAAATGGGAGAAATGCTAACAAGGCCTTCGAGTCCAGTTTTTCGTTGAGACGAGGGAAGAATAAAGAAGAATAAAGACTTGATGTCCATGACCGATTCAGGCCCGCTTGACATTTTTCTCTTCCCTTTAGAAGGGTCTATAGGCAAGGAATGGTGATGAAAACTCCAAAGGTAAAGACACCCTTGAGTCGAAGCAGCCACAATAGATGGCAAACCGCTGACCCCTTGAGAGAGTAGAGGTCGCATAGTCACACCTTTGGCCCCATGCGAAAGTACATCCTTAGCCGCCTATAACTCCCATAAGACGGGTCCTTAGGATTTGCTAAAATTTTCTGACATTTGGGGCGGTATTAAAATCAATCCTTGTGTTAGTTTAAATATCAATACTATATACACAAATAAATGAAACAGTGTAAGAAAACATAAAAGAGACTAATGAAGTTAGAATGAACACTTTCCTTATTCGCCGTAACATTGAAAAATAACAACAAACAAAAAGAGGTCATTGGGTTGAAACCAAGAAGGCACTCTCTTTTTATGCAGCGTGTTAAAAATAAAAAGAAAATAGCATAACAAAAAAGGGACAAGCCCCCACATCCGTCGAATGTTCATGAAAGGCTATACAGCCTTGGAAGGAAAAATCTACAATTTGAGATTATCTAGGACACAATAATTCTATATCATAGAGATGAAAAATCAACCCCAAATCTCTCTCACATCCCTCTCAGTAAGACTAACATAAATATGAGGCTTCAATGACCTCTCTAACGTTGCAAAGTTCGCATACTTCGGTACACACTTTGACCCTAAGTTACGAGCCACACCTAACTAAGGAAGATTCAAGTTAACTCTGGAACTAAGAGAAATAATATTAGCAGAGCATAACTTTCTAAGTGCGTTGAAATTTGTTTAAAGAAGAAACAACACTGAAAGGGGAATCCCCAAAGATATGGAATGTAAATTGAATCATTTCGGAAAAAATATCAAAATAAACAAAGTGCAAGCGCTAGATAAAATAGAAGTATGTACCTAAATCAAGGGGTTTGAACGATAACAAAAGAGAGCCGAGTTGCCAATGAGCAAGAAAATCGTCGTAAAAAAAGAGAGAACACAGAAAAATGCTAAAAAAGGGCATATTTGTAAGTTCAGGTGTATCGATTGGGTTAGTTACAGATCTCAATTGTTCGAACACTTCCTATAATCATAGCCATTGGGTATCAATGGGCGCTTCGCCTAGATTCAAAAGTACATGGCTGGGATGAGATTATGCATGGTCAACATGTACCAAATGCCTATAGGGCATTAACATATAAACGCGTAAATAAACCATGTAGCGCACACAAAAATTGCAACAATCGTAATACATCTCCTCAATACGGCCCATGTCAGCTACCACTAATAAAGCGAAGTATGATAAGTTTGCAATATCACAAAAAGTGCATGTCCTAGATTTAATATGAATAATAAAATCGCACTTCGAGGACTATTTGTTGAATCTCAAAATACAATCCATGATTTTTTGCCAACTAATGACTGTGTAAAGAAACACACAACGGAAACGAGAGCGTAAAAGGTTCGTACAAAGTAGGCGAACCTTCCCCATCCAAATTGACTACAAGCTATTAATAAAATACATGTAGGCCAATGAGTAAAACGTGATACTTTTAACAAAATTAGTTACAAAATTATCCAATAAGAGACTGCTATCTTTCATTTTCCTAAATAAACCGAATTACCCCACTATAAATATCCCCCACTTTTGAAGAGAGGCATGCAATTCAAATATCTCCATTCTAAATAATCACTTCTCCTCTTGCTCCAAATTTGAGCATCATAGCTAGTGAGTTTAAAATGTGAAAATTCTGGCTATGTGAGAAGATTTGTTGATCAGATTTCTGTCATCATCAATTACCAAATTGGAGTTGTATTTGTTTGCTAGATGTTTCACATGTATCATATGAAAGTGAAAATCAGAATTATCAGTTCTTGTCCACCAATGCTAATCTTTAATGATTTATAGACACAGGATATATGTTCGTTTTTGTTTGTCTGTGATTCACACATTTGTTGAAAATACTCCTTAAAAGCTTTATCGAGTAGAATGTCCTTTTGAAAGAATGCAAGAGTTCAGTTACATTTAAAAAAAAAAAAAATTTATAATTAGGAAATCTAACTAGTTGTAACGAATTTAGTAAATTAATACCAGAATTTAAGTTCATAAGTATATATTTGGCATGTTCGACTAGTCTAAGAAAAGAGAAACGTAGTCTTCATTTTCGGCAAAATTTATAGATCATTATAATTGTAAAGACCCCATTTCCATCCGCATTTCAATTGCCCCAACTTCATTTGTTATTTTCTTCGATAATGTTTACATTTTAATAAATAGTTACTAAATAAATTCAACTTTTACTAATATTTTGTAAATCTTGATAAAAATTGATAAAATATGTGATTGAAAAATTATATATCCTATAAATTGCGTGATTAAAATTAATTGTTGAGTTTAACTTAAATTAAAATCTAAATTTTAATTTCTACAAAATAGGGACTTTATCTAAAATTCCTGCAAAACATCGCATTTACTAATGAATAAAGCTGCAAGTACAGAAAATTTAAACATAATAAAAACAAGGTGTCAGCCCCCGGTTGGCCAGTTTTTTTTTTCCCTTCCAATGCAAATCCGCCAAGTGTTTTTCCTGTCAAAATTCTGTTGAAATTCCCTGTACTTGCAACATTGTTCATTTACTAATAGCCCAACATGCTGCAATACATTATTCTAGTTTTTTTTATTTATTCTTATTATTTGTTGGTGTTTACTAAGCACTTTGAAAACAAATATTTGCCCAAATCTGTGCAGAATGAAAAGATTCATAATTCAATTGCACCATCTAGTCAATTCGTGCTAATAATAGACACAATGACATCCTACGTTGTTTTCCAGTAGAATAGGCTAACTATGCAAGAGCAAAGCCATCAGCATCGAAAATAAGTGTTTATTCGAACTCTTTGGCACTGAAATCCCTGCTTTCAAGGTCTATGATCAAAATGGAACAATGAATCATCAATTCCATGAAAGTAAAAGGCGGCGAGTTTACATTACATAGAAGAAGATTTGTACTTTGGTTTCACATCATCACATACAAATGGTGGTAACGGTACCAAGATAAAAACAAACTTCCGTAATTTATAGTCCGACTCAAACCACCACTATTACAAGCATAAATTCTACAACATCACGGGCAATGTACGGGGCAGCACTAGTTAAATACAAAAGAACAAGAGTACCTCTGAGTGGCCCCCGGATCTAATTATTATCTTCAGAATAGTAGGAAACTCGATTCCACAGGTAAAGCTTTAGATTGTAGGTAAGAATTGCCAGCCAGCTGGTGCCAGGAATTTAGCAGTACCATAAAACTGATCCCTCGTGAAGACATTAAAACCTGTTACCAGGAATTAGTGACAAAACCTCTTAAGTTCCATAGATTTTAACTACAATACAGAGAGCTTTATCTTTAAATTATTTCCTTAAGATTTATTTGCATTATAAATAAGAGAGAAATTATTGTTTGAAAGAATTTTACGCATTCATATAAGAACACTGAAAGAACACTTGACACAATTGAAGTCCTAAAAGAAAATTCGTACAAAATATCTTATAATTAATTCGATTGAATCATATAGTAAGAAAACCACATCTATGACAATTATTTACAAGAAACAATGTCAAATAAAATCAATTATTATATTCCACAAAGACAAAACTATTGGTTACTACATGGAAAACCGACTGCTTAGTGATTCATTCAGGAGCTAAAGGTCACCTCAAACTATTTGTAGGAACTAGGAAGTGAACAATTTTTAATATTTCAACAATCCATGTTCCTGTCCTGGCTAAGAAAAGATTTCATGTATTCGAACTGCATAATTTCTGGAGCAGTTCAATTATATTGACACTCTTACAACTCTTCAGAAAATCTATGATATAGTTAATCTTCATTTTCCATGTAGAGTGCATTTTTTTATTTTCCATGTAGAGTACATTTTTCACATGAAACTTGACAAAGAAATCTAAACCGGCAAGATAAAGATGTGATAAGGTTTAAGCAGCATGAGAGATTTGATTGTTTCTTCTCTTTTTTCCAAGTAAACTCAGGAATTTCAATTTAAAATTTCAATCCAATTCATTGGATCACTCAAAGAACAAATCTGTCCAAACTTTTCTAATTAGTTATATTGTCCTCAATACCTCAATGCTGGATCCTGGATCTTTCAACCCTTGTTCTGGGAATAGCCAAGATGGCTACAAGCCCCCCGGCAAAAGTGGAAATTGCTGCCACAACTAAAGCTGGTGAATTGCCACCACCAAATAATTGATCCAATGGCCCAGATCCAAGGGACACGATAACCTGTTTCCAATAAGCAAAGCTTTGTCATCTAACAGCGAAAACAAATTTTATAAATGAGAAGTAAACATTAAAAGGCTTCTAATATTTGGTTATTGCAGCATCCCACAATATAATCATGCTTTTACATTAAGTTTGAAGATCAAGATCAGCAATCATAGGAGAAGAATTGCTGGTGTACACTTGCTGGTGAAGTCTAGAAAAAAATCGTAAGGGAAAATTTACTTTTTAACAAAACCATAAATACGCCTTTACTAGTCAAACATAGTAATGCTATTTGTTAATTCAGAACATGTTATTGCAAATATCACTGTTCTTCTTCATCAGGAAATATGTAACAAATTCTGATGCACTGCTGCACAGTATATATATACCCTATAAATTAGGATCCATGGTATATTTGTGTCAAGCTAAAATTGGAGTGTAGCCACTTACTGTGGCACACAACTTTCATTGTTCACACTGCATGTGAGTCACTATATTTCTCATTGTTGATGCTGCTGAACATGCACCCATGTTTATGGTACGAGACAATGATCCAACCACTCGATGAAGCGCTCAATTAGATCATTGTGATGGAAAACAATTGTGACTAGAACTAGAATAGTAGAAGAAAGGGAAAAGTGGGGAAGAAGAGAATAGAAAGGAGGGGAGAAATGGAAGAAAGGGGAGAGAATAGGAGGGAGGGAAGAGACGAGAGAGGGAATTAGAGGGAGATAATTCTTATTTGTTAAATAATCAAGTCTTAAGTATCACATTGCATAACCACTCTTACTGATAGAAAACGAAATATAATGTAGAAGAAGAAGATGGAGAAGAGAGCAAGAGACCATTGAATGTCTACATCTTTATTGAATTGATTGATCCTGAATACAAAGCATTTGTCCCTGTTTATAGGGAAATTATATTGAGATAGAAAAGGTAAATATATGAAATATTACGAGAATCAAATCAAATCAAATTGATTAAGGTAAATATGAAAATCAAATTAAGATAATATCAAATCAAGATAATATTGATTTGATATTATCTTCAATACTCCCCCTCAAACTCAAGGTGGAGAACGACGGAAGTTTGAGTTTGAAACTTGATAGAAGCCTTTATGTTTAGAGAAGGTTGCATACTGCCTGAATTAATTGTAGTAGCATCACTTGTAGGTGCTGGAGCGGAGGCCAAACCCTTGTGGCCATGGCCCTGAACGGCGGGCAAAAAGATTGCAAAAACAAGAACAAAACTTGCAAGGACACCAAAAGAAACCTTATGAATCTCTGCCATTTGCTTTGCCATGAGAGGAGGTTTGACTAAAGAAAATTTTGAGTGATCAGCAGAGTGAAGATAATATGGGGAAGAATAAGTGGGATATAAGAGATATAGAGAGGAAGGTTTGGAAGAAGAAGCCATAGGAGGCAACAAAGATATTTCAGAAATGAGTTTTGGTAGAAGTGGTCGGTGGCGCCACTATCAGCCACCCAATTATGGCGGCTGTCAAAGAGAGGTCATGAGGAGAAAACATTATCCACGAAGTTGGGACTCTAATTTGCCGTGAGCTGAGGAATGAGAAGGTGATGAAACCCAATGTAAAGTTTGGGCAGGCTGCTCTGGCTAAGAAAGGGGAGGAGTTGGAAGAATAATTAGGCTTGCTGAGATCAGGACTAGGTTGGCAGAAGGATGAATTTTGCAGAAGTTGGCAGAAGAATTGCTGAAATCAGAAACGAGGCTGCTGGAAAAAAAATCTACTTCTAAAAAAACTGTTGGGAAAAAAAATCTACTTCTGAATTATTGCTGGTAGGAATTTGTTGGACTGGTGTTGGCGGAAATTTTGATCTTACCTGCTCTGATACCATGATAGAAAACGAAATATAATGTAGAAGAAGAAGATGGAGAAGAGAGCAAAAGACCATTGAATGTCTACATCTTTATTGAATTGATTGATCCTGAATACAAAGCATTTGTCCCTGTTTATAGGGAAATTATATTGAGATAGAAAAGGTAAATATATGAAATATTACGAGAATCAAATCAAATCAAATTGATTAAGGTAAATATGAAAATCAAATTAAGATAATATCAAATCAAGATAATATTGATTTGATATTATCTTCAATACTTACTGGTACTAAAAATTTCTAAAAACTATGGAAACTACTTCATAATAATAATGGTATGGAAAATCTGTCTATATAATTGTAAAATATATTTTATTTCATAGCAAGTCTTCCATAAATAGTCTTCTAATAATAACTCAAGGATCTACATCATCATGTCTTTAGATACCTTAATGCAATCACATGACATCTCCAATGGGTATGTATCTCTCACAATCTTGGTTTATATATTAATAATGATGCCACAAGAATTTAAAACGTCCTCAAGATACGTTTCAGACACCACTATTTATACACAACCCATTTTTGCTCAATGAGTCATGAATAGAATACAAAGTATTTGGTAAAACTCATTTTTTATCAGATTTATTAGCAATAAAGTAATTTCATTAAACAATTTAGTTTGAGAATCAACATACAAATTTCATTCCTGCTTGTGATTTCTAAAAGAATGAAGTTCAATTTTTGTATTGTAGCAAAGTATCATCTTGAATACATAATATCAATAATTTCTAAGCATACAAGTCAATCCCGATCAGCCCTGTCCTGATGTCACCCCTGTAGAGAGCATCTATTTTTCAGGGTCAATAAAGCAGTTTATCTTGTGGATCCCGTGCTGCCCATTCTACAAACATCCAAGGGTGATTGCAAAGAGTGGACCAATCAATTCATTCAAATTTATTTAGTTGGATAGCTTTAACAAATATTCAACAAACAACAACAACAGTCATATTTTATATTTTCTCAACCAAAAATATAATCAAGACCATCACTGCCTTGAATGATACAAAGCTAAACTAGCTAGTTTCACAGTAGAAATATCGGCTTTGATAAGTTTCCCACTTAGTTTCTCAGTAAAAGAGTATTATTGTATTTGAGAGAAGTTTATGGAAAAGGTCCACAGATTTTAGTGGGTTGTCCATCTTTACATATTGTGTTAAGTAGGCGTAGCAACGGCACAGACAACAAAGCCAAACAAAGTGAAGTAAACATGGTAAAATAAACAAGAACAGGTTATACCTGTGGAATCACAATTGCCAGATTCAAAACCCCCATGGACAATCCTGCAAGATTGGGGTAATAAATCAAAGCACTTAACCTCCACGTTACCATTTATACACAAAAAGATACACATCCCAACCAACCTTGACCCAGGCCTAAAGCTTCAATACGTGCAGATACCAAGGCATATGGAACACTGTAGGTTATCTGCAAACAGAAGTTCAAGAATACAATGAGGACCATTAGAGACTGAGAATCATTAAAACAACACTTGAACAAAAAAAGTCAGCATTAGCAGCCTCTACCCAGTCTCCACAAATAAAGGCCTAGAATAGTTTGGAACAGTCATCTGAGATATCTTCCGCCCCAATATTACATAGTAGAGCCCAGTTCAGATTTCACTTTCTAAAAGTTAATTCGCTTTCAGGTGGATGAAGTTCCCAGAAATTATCAATGTTTCAATCTCAATAAGTGCTGTTTCACATGCATACTAAGATTGAAAGGGTACAATTACCCTGCACATAATTCTTTCAATATATTCAGCATAATGATTGTTATAACAAAGAGAATATTTCTTAACAATTTCAGCAATGAATTAAGCAACTTACAGATAATGGAATGCCAAGAACTGTGAATGCTACTAGTGCAGCAATGACAACACCATTCGGAGGAAGATTGTTAAGAGTATTCATTTTACTCCTGATTGCAGCAACTATAAGCATTGCTATAAAGCATAAAGCCATGAGAATATTCGAAAGTCCCCATGTAAAACCAGCCCCCCACTTGCTACAGAGCTTCTCCATAAACACTGAAGTAATCCCAAGCATCACTGAGTTCAACATTAGGCCCAATGAACCCATTCTGACTCCAATGCTATAATTTTCCCCTTCATTTGGCTTGCCACCATATATTTCACGACCCATCCAGTCAGTATCGTAAAGAGTAAATGGAAACCAGCCAATCCAAGTCAGAGAAGTTACAAGCAGGATTGTCCAAACAGTACCTGGTAGATACCTAAAAGTCCCAAACAACTCCCATAAAAAAGCTTCGTTCTCTTGAGAAGAATTCTGGGACCCTCCTTCGCCAAAATTAGGGGAATTGTTGCCTACATTTAAGGACTGCTCATGGGCTGCAGTTAAGCTTATACATGTAGTTATGACAATAAAAATAATGTCAAGAATGAATGCAGCCTTGAGATTAGCACAGTTAACACTGCAGGCAGGAGTGAGGGAGAAGGGAAAAATCTTGAACCAGTTGCTGTAAGATCCAGTGGCATATCCAAGGATGTTACCAACAGCCATAAATAGGGAAAAGTACGCATTTGCTACTCGAGTTCTCCTGTGATCCTTACCTAATACAATACAATGAAAAATGACAACGGTCAAACTTTTGAAGTTTAGTTCATAAAGTAATTTTCAAAAATTCAATATTTTTGCAAAAAATGAAGTCATTAAATTTATTCTAATAAGCTTTTTCAGTGAAGAATATTACTCATAAATGTATTGATTTATTTGTTGAGGTTATGTTAAATTTTTGTTAAGTGGTATAGAGAATCAAGCCTGCTCTCCTATTAGTTCTTTCATCATCCATCAAGAAGGCTTATTTTACTTAAATTTTTTCAGAGACTGACAAAAAATTCTTAACGTAAGTCTTCATTTTTCAGTTCTCTGTTTTAGAACTTTTTACTCCGTTATGATGACTGGAGTTGAAAATAAAAGAATTACAGACTTATGAATGTAGAGGGAGGACGCATAAGAATGGATGCAAAATATGATGTAACATAAGAGTGTAATGTCAACTTCTACATTTGAATTCCCTTCTTATCTCCCAATTGTATTCAACTGTAAGAAGCTTAAAATCAAAAAGGAACCATGAAAGAATCCATTTCCTCTTGCCGTGCTTTACATACATTTTTGTCTTTTAATCATATTCCAAACATGACTCCATTATTTTTTCTAGATTTTCATTTTCCAACCAGGCTAAATGAAAGTTTTACTAGTTTTCTGTTGTCTATTAAAGACTTAAGTGCTACTGAAATAAGAGGATAGCAATGTAAATAATTAATCTTGAAGATAGAGGACCAAAATGCAACACATGTCAAATGATAGGGACATCTCCTGCTATTGTCCCGTACCAAAAAAAAAAACACACACATTTAAAACTCAAGCCAGCTCCAAAAATTTTCCCTTCCCCACATGAAGCTGATATCCATTTCCCATCAACTTAAGAAACACAAACAAAAAGTAACATAGAACAAAATACAAAACAAATAAATTGAACCAGGTCATACAGAATTCCAAACATTTTTTGTTCAGATTAGTAACGGAGAGAAACCAAATAACCAAAACTTGAACAAAAGTTACAAGACATAAAGTTGTGTGACATTTTTAGGAGAAATTAAAAATGAGTGACATGGTACTTCCCGACCCAGTCTATGAGGAACAGTTGAAGACGATGAATACCGCCGGGGTGAACAAGCCAGTAACTTGAACATGTTAGGTGACCATTTAACTGTTTCTCCAACAAATTAAGAAACCCAAACTAGTAGATAATAGGCATAAATCTGAGTTGGTTATGATTACGATCTATGAATCAAACAATTTAAATTCAAATTTTGTATATAATTGTGTAAAAACATCTTTATAGTATAAATTTACCAGTGAGATCAGCGAGCAGGGCACGACAGGGGCCTTGAGTCATATTATTAGCCACATCAAGAAGCCAGAACCCAAAGACATAGACCACCACGGTACGAGTTTTCTTGTCACCCCTATCCCCAAGCACCCATCCGATGTCGGCAGAAAAGCCGATAATGACAACAGAAACAACTATGGAGGTGGCGCCGCCGATGATGAAGGGGCGGCGGCGTCCAAGCTTGCTGGTGCAGCGGTCGCTCATAAGACCGACTAAGGGCTGAACCAGAAGTCCCGATAGAGGACCGCAGAGCCAAATAATACTGGACCATGCGTGCGGAATTCCCAGTTCCTGAACATAAGGGGTTAAAAGGGACAACTGAAGAGCCCATCCAAATTGAATTCCACATGCCACCGACGCCACTCGGAACAGTGTACGTAACCTCACTCTGGCCGGCCTCCCTGACCCCTGCCCATGTTGTAATGGTCTATTCTGTTTTCCTCTGTTCCTCTCCGTTTCCCGGATCATCATCAGAACCCAGAAATTGATGGCGACAGCGATGAAGATGGCGATGCCGACCGCGATACGAAATGGATAGTTTGGTTGGCCTTGACAAGGAAAATTAGCGTAAAGAAGGTGATAGTTTGATGAGGAATTACGGCAGAATTTGGGAGGGTTACGATGCAGAGTTTGGGTTGAGATACGAGGGAGTACTGAGTAGAGAGGGTAACCGTTTCGGCAAGTGCGCTGGATGCCTGGATCAACTCACTCACTCAGTCGCCGCTGCTATTGGAGATTCTGTCATGGTTTTGTAGAACTGGCTTTACCAACTTGCCCAGGTAAAGCTCACTATCGTTTGCGGCTTGTTTGGCAAATCAGAATTTGCATTAATTGATTACTTTTTCCTTCTCCTTGGACATAAAATAGGTTAACGGTTAACCTTGCAATTAATTTATAAAATTCATTTTGGTATTTTCAAATTCATGGGAATCTTTAATCCAATCGAGATATCAAGTCTGTTTATTAAAAATTAATTAATTAATTAATGAAATAATGAAATAATAAAGAAACGACCTTTGGACTTTTTTAACGAAGTAAGGCAGCTTCTGCTACTCCGATAAATAATGAAACACCTGCCTCACCCACTTAATGAATGGTCAAATTCTACCCACTAAGTTGTTGATGGGATCAGTAATAATCGTCGGAGGTTATCAATCAATTGAAAGGATGTCAGGCGATTGGAAGTCATGATAGTCGATCGATCCTTGAGGTAGTCATTCTAACACAGCGATAGTCGGGCTAACATAACAATAGTCGAGTTGCATAGCAGTAGTCGATCTACCATAGTGATAGTCAGATTAGCATAGTGATTCGATCTACCATAATTACAGTCAGACTAACATAGGGATGGATAGTTGGACAATTGTCTTCACTTGATTAAATATCATAGTTTACCAATTATGTCACGTAGCATCAATTAAAAGAAACAAGCACGAGAGTTTTATTCTGTCAAAATATTTTCAACCAAAACCAAACTAAGCTCCTGTTTAACAACCATATAAGTAAAATTCTTTTTTTGGCAAACTTATTTTCAATCACATATTCTTATAATAAAATATTTTGTACGTAAATTTAAATTTTTTTCTACTTTTTAATCATATATTCTAAAAAAAATTACCATTCAAAAATTCACTTTTCCATTTTAATAGTTGTCAAACGGGGCTAAATTATGAAACGAAGCCAGCAAACGTTGTGAGAATGAGCTACAACATTCGCTTGCGTGAATAATGGGAATCTTTAACTTCAGACCACCGATAATCAAAGTTCCTATCCAGTCTAGGACTGCACCCTTTAATGAGTGGAAGGTTGGATTGTATACCTCAGTTGCGATATTTATGCAATCAATCACAAGCCAACTCTCTATTCATTGAAAATTTATTTATTTATTTTTGGGACCGTTGCAGATGGAGCTTGGGATTTTCTTAAACGAGTTCAAGAAATTGACTTGAAAGTAACTTTAAGTAAGGGGAGCAGATGAGATAAAAACATCTCAACGTCTTTTGATAGTGGAGGACAGAAGGCGGACGTAATTGAATTTTTTATTCGAGTCCCTCCATGATTGCCATAGAGTCGACCGCATATGAAGAAATAGTACTACTTTTAGACACAATCATAAAGTAGCAACTATTATTTTTTTTACAAGAATCCTGTCATATCAGCCTAATTCCAAAGTCCTGTTCATCTCTGACTGCAGCTTCAATTAATTCTCGACAATTAGTGACGAGTTCATCTGATCAGATATAACCGCACCCCTTTGAACTCGGCAGTTACAGCATGTACAGTGATTTCTAGCAGAAATCCGTTTAAGATGGCTGCGTTTCTATCTCCAGCAATACCATCAAATAATAAGCAAGTGCTGCTTTTCCTCAACTATCAGATTCTTTCACAAGATTAATGGTATCAGAACATGCAATTGGAGTTTCTGAGTAGAGAGGGAAAACCGTGGGAAGTGTGCTGGATCAACTCACTCAGTCGCTGCTGCTATTGGAGATTCTGTCAGGGTTTTGCAGAACGGGTTTTACCGACTTCAGTAAAGCTCACAAGAAAATTTCAATATAATTGATATCTACGACCGAACATGATTGGTCTTTTTTTTTTTTTTTTCGTTTTTCGCTTCTTTCAATGGTGTGACGCTAAGTGTTGTCTATCAAAATTATTTGTCGTAAAAATATTATAGCTTGATTGTTACCAACTTGTCAATGTAAAGTTCACTATATCGTATTCATTCTTTCTCATTGGACATAAATAGGTCAACCCTGCAATTAATTTACAAAAATTATTTTGGCATTTTCACAATTAATGCGGTCTTTAATCCAATCGAGATATCAAGTTTGTTTACTGCAAAATAAATAAATAAAATAAAACAAAAGGGCACAAGAATTCTCTTCCATCAAATCATATAGTTACGAGGAAATCATGAACCAAACTAAATTATGAAACGAAGCAAGTAAATGTATTGTTAGAATTTGGGTGTGACTCGAATTTTTTGTTGAAGTAATTGAATAATTCTAATTGAAGTGCGCATCAAGAATAAATCAGTTTGGAATGCTATTGGAGTCCTATATCAAGTTGAAGTTCTATTTTAGAAGCTCATTGAGAGTTGAAATTTATTTTGAACTCAATTTTTTGATATCTTATTTCATCAACAACTCTACTAAAAGGGTGTGGATATCCCATATATGTCCCCTATAAATATTAGGTTCTTCTATACAATATTAAGGGGTAAGAAAATAGATTAATAGAATTATAGGATCCATTGTAATTTTCTCTCTTCTACATTATTCTTGAGTCAATAAAATCTCTTAATTTCTCTACCATATTTTTGTCCTTATTAGTCTTTTATTTGATCATGTACTTCATTATTATTTGTCATATAACTTTAACATATCAATCCAGTAGTTTGTTTCACAACAATTGGTATCAGAGCAATTCTGGTATCTTAGTTGTTTTACAACAATTGGTATCAGAGCGCTAGGTTCAGCAGTTTCGCAAGATCGCAATGTTTAATTTCTTCGAGGTTTTTATTCGTGATGACTTCCATGAAGTATGACATTCCGCTTTTGGATCGGAGTAGTAGATTTTCACTATGGCAGGTTAAGGTGCGTGCAGTACTCACACAATTGGATTTGGATGATGCGTTGCTAAGAATTGACATGATGCCTGCAACTTTGACCGAGGAGAAATTAAGGAAGGATAAGAAGACAGTTTCTCACATTCTTCTTCATCCATCAAATAATATTTTTTAGGACGTTTTGAAGGAGAATTCAGCAACTGCTTTATGGTTGAGGTTGGAGCAATTGTGCATGACTAAAAGTCTGACAAGCAAGTTGAACCTCAAACAACGTTTATACTTTCATCGAATGGAAGAAGGAGGATCATTGGAAAATCACCTAACTGTATTTAAGTAGATCATCGCTGATTTGAAAAGTTTGGAAGTAGAGTATGATGAAGAAAATTTGGCCTTGATCCTATTGTATTTGTTGCCCGCTTCGTTTTCTTCATTTAGAGACACAATCTTGTATAGTCGTGATACTCTCACCATAGAGGAAATGTATGATACTTTATATTCAAAAGATAATATGATTCATCTGATTTCTGAAGCCAGATGTAACAAGCCGAAATTTTTTTTAGAATTTAATTAGTTTACTTGCCATATTTTATATTTTTATATAGTTGAGGGACTAAAGTGATATATGTATTAACTTCAATTTTGGGCTAAATTTTTAGATATTATTAAAATGACTAAAAGTATATCTATATGGGTCTCGTTGGATAGCTCGTAATTAATCATGTAAATTAGGCTCGAGAAAAATTTAATTCGAATAAATTAGTTTCAAGATTTTGAAGTTCAAAGAAATTGTAATTTATTTATTTTTAAATCAAAGTAAATTGGAATGAGGATATACACGTGAATGGATGTGAGATAATTTTTTTTTTTTTTTTTAGAATTCTATTTAAAGTCAAGTTGCCATCACTATCACGTATTAGGATTAGAACCTCCTTTTTGTTGTGATAAGTATTTTGTACACATGTCACATTGTGATTGGTTTACTAGAAATTCAATTTTTATCAAATGTAATAAATATAATTTTTCATCACAATTGCATCATGATTCAAAAACTAAAATTTTCAACTATAAATAGTGTGCAATTGTTCCATAATTCACCACCAAAGAAATTTTACACGGCAGCTTTCATATAAAGCAGTTGTAAATTTCTAGTATATTTTTTTTTTCGAAAGCTCGTTTGATCAATCAAGGTAAGATACTCTTTGTGCAGGTTGTTTGTTTTCTTATACTTTTATATTCAGTAATTTATGCATGAATTTCCAGTAGATCTCCGGGTTCAACCTAATGGATTGTGAACTCTTTTAGGTTCTTTACAATGAAATGTGAAATCCTTCGAGAATTCAAAATGAGAAATGATAGGTATCTCGTTTGGTCACCGATGTACTCCATAAAGAGAAATGTGGTATGAATTGTCTATATTATTGTTATATAATTACGTATAGAAACTGCACGTATCTTACTTTTTTTAAAATACTCACTCCTACAAATTTTTACAGACTAGATCGGGTCGATTAGAGCTGTAACGGAATGTTGCAGCGGACTGCCAAGGAATTTCGACATACCAAAATATTAAGTTTTATTACCTTTAAATTTAGTAGTTTGTTTTGTTCAATAACATTAATATTGAATTTATTTTTTTTACTGCCAAGAGAATGTTTAAATATTTTTTTTAAGACACGATTTTATGATTCAAATTCAAATTTATGGTTATTCCAATATTTTGTTAATTAAAAATTTTTATCATTCTGTATTTCAACTAAATAAAAGTAAATAAAATTAATTTTTGATAACACTTCAAGATGTATGAAATTTTGGGGCATTAGACCAGAGATGAGAATGACTGGTTGCTCATGGTGGTTCTGGAAGGGGGTAGATCGAAATCTAAGTTCAATAATCAAAT